GCCAGGGCTTCGAGGGAAGCCTCGTCCTGGATGCCAGAGGGAACCCAGTGCCCACAGCCGAAGGAAGGAAGGCCTACTCTTGCACGAATTTCGTGCATCGGGCCTCTAGTTTTAGATAAAACTTATAGTGCAAGTGAGTATGTCCCTGCATTGATATTTAAGACATGCTAAAAATAAATATGATTTTCAAGTGTTTTCTTGAGGTTCTAATGTTTCCAGCTCAGAGTAAATAGGATTCCATGGGATCTCCCACAAAACACCACTAAGTGACTTCAAGGCACAGAGGATGCCCCCCAAATAGCAAGACCTCAGTAGCTGAGTATGTGGGCAGATGGAAGCAGGATTATAAACAGATTCTTTTTCCTGCAACAACTACTTTGTCCTTCATACCGATTTTAGCAACTAAATATTTAAGAAGCATATTTGACTCTTATGGGATGTTTTATGGGAACACAGACATTTAATTATCTACATTAAACCAGCTTCACTCTTTCCTGTTGTTCCTTCCAACTTTTTCTCTTTTGATAGTTAAGGATGAATGTGGCAAAATGAGCACAGGCTTATATATTATGTTTACAAATAAAAACTCGTATCGAAATGTCTATGTGGTTAGCAATGATCAGAACAACTTCTGGGCCTCCAGACTGGAGCACACCCTCCCCTCCACATGCTGAGGAATCACCCTCCACTTTACTCCTATGGTTGTTAAACTTATTAATTGCATTTGATAGGTTTGCTCTGCGTCAGTGGTCATTACTCATTAACTCCTCTGCCCAAACCAGTGTGTCAAGGTTTTTACTATGACAGTGAAGGACTCCACCGAATCTATGCAAGAGATCATAATGATAGACTGGTTGAGTTGAATGTAACCCACAGCTAAGCCTTTAATAGAATGAGTGGGGGGTGGAGGGGTGGGGGTGGGGGCGGGGAGGGAGAGCATAAGGATGAGGACAGGACAAGTCTACGAGGAAGGAAAGTTTGGAAAACAAGAGGAAGCAACCATTGGAAATACTTTTTTTTTACAATTTTGTCAATTATACCTCAATAAAGCTGGGTGAAAAATAATTTGACTCTAGAGCTTCTCAAAGACTTTTTTGGTTGGCTGACCTCTACCAATATGGTATGACTGCAAGGGTATAAAACAGTTGATAACATTTCTGAGGAAAGTGTGCAGCCAGAGAGGTCCACATTTATCTTCTACTATTATAACATTCTGCATTTTTGTCAAACTAATCTCATTATGGAAAGAATAGAAGCTCTTGGTGAGTGGACAGAACACAAGATAATACATTTTAATATTCTCTCTGAGATGAGGGCACCTTAGTGACAAAGCCCTGGGTGGGCAGAGAGGTAGCAAAGGCTGTCCAGGTTGGCCACTGGCAACAGGAAACAGTATAAATGCACCGGGTATGGAGGCCAAGCATCAAGAAAGGAGGGTGCCTCCCTTCATACTGGTGAAGGTACTGAATCAAGTAGAAGAGACAAAGATACACTGTTTATAATGGTTTCAAATATTGGCTCTCAGATAGGTAAGAAGAGAATTAACACCCAGGGATGGGTAGTATGATAAACCAAGCTCTTAGCCAAGAAAGCCAAGTGGACCTCTAATTGTAATCCCCAAATTGCTCTTCTCAATGGCATGTTTTGACTTGAGACTTTGGTAAGCTCCTCAAATGTTTTCAGGACTTTACTCTGTGTGTTAAATGGGGCAAAAAATTAAGATTCCACTGAAGGTTTAGTAACATAATTGTAAGAGAAAAGCAGTGGCTCACATACACTAGCAGTATTTGCCAATCCCCGTTCACCACATTCTGGCCAGTCAGGAGTATTTGATCCGATAGCTAACACATTAAATTTTATTTTCATTTGCATCATCATGATTACTCATGAGACTGACCATTTATTCCTGTTTATTAGCTGTTTTGTCCTATCTGTTCTGTGAATTGTAGGTTTATGCTTTTGCCCTTTAATTTAAAATATAGAGGTTTATTGTCAGTTATATTAACTCATTATATATTAATAATTTTTCACTTTTATTTTCAATCTGAAATATTTGCTCCACAAGAAAGATCCATAGACCTCAAGAAAGCTAAGGCATTTTTATTGTTAATAAATATATCTCGCCAATATATAAAAAATGCATTAAAAATATATTAAAGCAGTGCCCAAGAGACCTGAAGATACTAGCAAATTACACTGGCTTAATCACGTTGTAAGAATTATTTTTTTAATATATATTTTTTTATTTCATGGGCTAAGATGGACATGGTAAGAGAGATTACCAGACACACCATAGATAGAAGAGTTAGACAATTCAGATAAGACATGAGGTCTTTTATCAGGCTGCTTACACATGAATTCCAGCCCTGCTGCTTCCTAGATGTTAAACACTAATGCAAGAAACTTAAAGCCTCCTGCCGAGGTGCCCTCATCCACAAACTGGAGATTATGAAATCTCCTTCACGGGATTGTTGTGAATATTAAGTGAGATCATTGCACACACAGTATTTGAACTAGTATCATGGAAACGGGGAGTACTCAATGAATGTTCTTATTGGATAAAAGGCAGTATTACATTGCATTTCTCTATCTATGGTCTTTAGGGAAGGAAACCTCCTCTTATGGTACAGAATGTCATCCAGAGAGTCCTAAATTGATCCAACCCGAGGCCTTCCAGCCTTCCTAAGAAGACATCAGTGCCTCCAGTGACACAGGGCAAGGGGCTTCCTGGATAGTGCTCCAGGTTTAAGCTTTGCTAGCCCTCCCAGATGTAGAGAGAGAGTCCATGCAATTGTCTCTTGACCACCATCCAAGTTTATTCACATTTATATTTTAAATAAAAATTAAATAGTTCTTGTTAATTTTCCTATCATGCATGTATTTCTTTCTTATGGCTTTATTTCTAAATCATGTAGATTTAGTCTTGACAATTTACCTTTAAGGTTTCAGCCTCCCAGAAACTGAAATTTGGTCCTCCTTGAGGCCAAATATTTTACATATTGCCCATGCTCTTACCTCTTAATCTAGCCTTAGAATTGAAATTCGTAGATGTCATATTAGGAATAACAGCCAGATTATCCTGAAGAAATTATAGAATTAGGTCTATAATACCTTAGGGATGCCATTTTGTCCTTAAGAGACCTTCTAAAGGAGATTCCTAAGTCTCCACTGGTGGCAGGTTTTGGTGGTTTAAGGAGCGTCTATTCCCAGAGGAATGAGGAAAATGGTGACAATCAGACACAGGTGTGGTCATAGGTACCTCCAAACCTGGATACCCAGATATTATTGGAGCTGGGAGGTGGGGAAAAGGTCGGAGGGCACCTACTGTGAAATGACCACACGAACGGAAACCAACCAGATAATTTAAGAAAGTCTCACTATGTGCGGACATGAATAGTTGAGACTTGCTGTCACTATTGGTTATACTTCTAAAACTTCATAATATCCTTTGAACTATTTAAGAACCATTCATTTCTTTTCTAGAACTTTAAAACTAAGGGATCTGGCTAAGTAACTCCAAAAGTTCCTGCTGACGGTTGATAGCTACTTTTGAGTTACATGATACCAGCTGATAGTAAATCCTACTGCCCCGAGTAAAGCAGTTTGGATTGCACGTGGTGATAGAGGCTATTAACTGTCTACTGGAATCTACTCTTCCCCAGGCACACAGCTAGACTGCATTTCCCAGACTCTCTTGTAGGTAGAAGAGCCGTGAGAGCAAATCCAGACCGGAATGTGAGCAAAAGTGAAGTTTGCCATCACTGGGTGGGGAGGGGGGAAAGGGAAGGGGGGAGGGGGGGTCCAAAAGAGCAGCTACGCCTCCTCAGTGTTCTCCTTCTATTGGAGAGGAGTCCCCCAATGCCACAGTAACCTCGAAGGCTCCATAGTGAAGACAGAGCTTCTGCCAGCCTTGTTTTCCAAATGACTGCATACTGCAGAGGTTCCCTGTAGCAAGAACCTCACCCTGGGCTGAGTATTCTATATTGAGGCCACTATGTGCAATAGTAATTTATTAAGTCCATTTATTAGGGCAGATTAACATTGAAGGGTGGCAGACTAGGCCACCCCCAAGCATGCCACTTTGGCATAAGGATTATGTTGAGGTTAAGAGACTTGAAAAACAACAGGTGCAAGAAAGGCACTTGGACCTCCCCTTTCTTCCAGAAAGCAGGAGTTAAAAATCCAATGTAAAAATGCCCTGTCTAAATAAGGAAGAAAGAAAGATTTTTATCACCAGAGACCAGGAATCAAGGCCAAGAGAAATCTGTACAAGCACACCTTGTTAAAAGAAAATAACTCTTATCTTCCTGTAGCCTTCCTGTATACTTTAGTTACGTTGCCACAATTGATTCCCTTTGTTGAACCTCGTTTATAAACACTTAGGACTAGCCACTTCTTTGGGTCTTCATTTTTCCATTGGAGGTTCCCATGTTCCTGTACAAATCTGTATGTTTTTCTCCAGTGAATCTATTTCATGTCAGCTTAATTCTCATGCCTAGCTAGAGACCCTAAGAAAGGAGAGGTAAAGTTTGACCTCCCGACGGCATATCCCAACCACTACTTCTGCCATATATTAAAACTCCATGTTCTTATTAAAATCACATAGAGGTACCTTAACTTCTCTTTGTACTTTTCACTTTGCCAAAGGTGCTTTCACATGTATTACTGATCAGGAATCTCACAATAATCACTGAAAAACAGTAACCCTGGGAAAATATACGTGTGTGTGTGTGTGTGTGTGTGTGTGTGTGTGTGTGTGTGTGTTTAAAGAGTATTTCAGTAAGATAACTTAAGAAGTCACAATTTAAAATAATAGAAGTAAACATACAGTTCAAACGTTTGATATGCAATAGAAAATTCCATAGAGCCATTAAGAAAACAAACAAAAATTAAACAAAGTTTCAATTTCAAACCCGAGATGATAATAAATATACTTTGAAGATTTACTTCTGTGGTCCAAATCACCAATAAGAAATTATTAACAAAACAAGTGTCCTTACCTGCCAAAGATGACATATTGACAATGATGCCGCCTTCACCTCCATTTTGCTTACTCATGTAATCCAAACCAAGATAGGTTCCACTGATGACAGAAACCTAACCCAAGGGCATGAATGGGAAAAGCAACACAGACATTACACTCTGTCATATAATCATACACCAATGTATTTACTACTATCTCAGGCAGAGTTCAACAACTGTTATCGATGAAGGGTTTTGAAATGGCTTTTAAAAAAAAAAGCTAGTCATTGACTTGGATTCTCTTTGGTTTGCGTAAAGTTGTGGAGCTTATCACATCTCTGCAAAACTTTACTTAGTTGCCCAATCTGAGAGTTTATGATAAAGATTGTAACCCTAGGGTGTTTTGTCAACATTAACTCAATGTTCAGCATCATCAAGAATTCTATATATTCTTTTTCTTTTCTAAAGATTTGATACAAAATTCATTTACCCTTATTAAAAGCATATGGTCCTCATGCCCCAGGAGTCTGCATTCATCTCCTCTGTTTAATTCCCTTGTATCTTGCAGTATATGATAGTAGATTCCCTTAATTTCCATTATTATATATCACAAGAATCTAAGAAAACAAAAACTCTAATTTGCATTTGTATCTACTTTTCACCCAGGTAATACAGAGGAAGGTGATCTCCCAGCTTTAGTGTAGACACTGATTAATCTAATTCAGCCATAGAAATCCCATTCTCCTTGCCAGAGACTGGTTTAGGAGATGGCATGTGACCCATTTCTGGCCAGTAAGACCTGAGGGGCGGCCGGCTGGAGCGGAGTGAAGGAGCTGGGTTGGGGAAGGGTGGTAGAAGAAGATGCTCATAGAAAAATTGTTGATACTTTTAAGAAAACCAGAAAGAAATGATTATATTACTCCTCTTCCATTGCTTTCTATAGGTGCGATGGCGAGCATCCTCATAATGAAACTAGAATAAAGGATGACAGTTGGAAGAGTAGATAAGAAACTGGATCCTGAGATGCAACATCCAACAGTCCTGATGCTACAACCCTGTTGTGTGAGGTCACATAACTTTTACCCAGTTTGAATGGGAGATTTTGTTACTTGGGACACATGGTCTTCAGTAATGTCTGTCACTTAATTGTGTTCATCACAGCGTACAAGTGTGCTTTTGCTGGTTTACTCTGCTTCACTGCTCCTTGCCATCGGTAGATACCCTTTCTGTTTTATTCTAATATTGAAGAGTTCACCACTACTCAAAGCAACTTGTGATGTGAAACATATTTGAAATCCTTTTTTCCCTTTTAAGAGCTTCTCTCCCTTCCAACTCAGATTTCTAAAAGGTGGAAATTTTCTTTTGGCATCTTAATGCCTACCTTTTTCATTCCTTATAATACTGCAAAGAAAATGATGCAATAATGAGTCTGGAACAGATTACTGTTTACCTTCTTTTAATTTAAAAAAGTCCTTTGGGAGTTCTTTGAAAAGTGTTCAGAGTTGCCTCTCTACCTAACAGGAGTTTAGAACAAAAAAGTAACTTGAAGATTTTATTCACTTAAGCCATGTGTCAGTTTGATATTAAGTAGGCTTAGGGATAATGAGTAAAATCTCCACATGATTCCCTTTAAAATGGAAACACAGAACATGAATGGTTTATATAAGAAGGAAAAACTGATGCTGCTCCCTTTTGCCCAAGTCTTCAGCATGTCTGAACAGAATTTCTGTTTATGCATATTGGCACTATGCTTCTTCTCAGGTATTTGCACTCTGCTGACATCCTACATTTGTGTTTTCAACATCTACAAGATGCAACCAGCTAGAAAAGTTGGGAATGTGTAAGCTTTATTGTAATTTTTTGTTAAGCAATATTGATTCCCATGTCCTTGGTGGAGAAGGAGCCCAAAGGGTAATTTCCCCCATCCATTGTCAGGATATGAACTGAGTAGCTTTTCAAATGGAAACACTCTTGGACTAAATCTACATGACAAGGTCTAATGCTTTGCCTTGCAGGTTCTTGTTTTTTTTCTCCAGTCTAGTTATCAAGAAATATAGTAATATATATGATCTTTCTTTTTTTTACCCCTGAAATCCTTTTTCATAGTCAATATTGTTTCAGTTTTGCTTGTTTAGGTGGTAAATATTGTCTTCCCCCTTGCAGAAAATACTTACAACTTAACTATGATAATAGTTCAACTGGATCTGCCTAACTATGATAATAGTTCAACTGGATCTTTAATATTATAGAGTAGTAATAATAGAAAGTAGTTACTAATTTAATTGGTAATCAACATCTTGGTAACCAAAAAAAGGGAGTACATTTGACAACAATATTTCTATCCATTTCTTCAACTCTTCATTTTGAGGTAGAGTAGGAGAGAGGAACCCAACTCACATAGAAATGAGACAGTGAGAAAGGAAGAAAATGTAGATTTTTATACTTTGGAGAAGAAAGGCAATTTATTGAGTGAATACTTTGTAGTAGCACTGTGCTGGATGTGTCATACAAATCATGGCTTATTTAAGCTAGAGGTTATCTTTATTCTTTCACAAACCAGGAAATTCAAGATCAGAGAAATAAAAGTTCACAAATTCCAAATTCAGGACTGAAATGTAGTTTCAACTAATTCTAAATGTATACCCTTTCCAAGTTCAAGTCTTATATTTCTGAAAAGAAAATCACCAGCAGTCGCCATCTATTTTGTTTCATTTTTATTTAAACATACCAAGGGATTCAATATATGCTAGTTACATGTCCAAATTAGATTACAAATCCCACTTGTGTGGGGATTGATTTTTTAGGTTTACCAAAGCTTCAGAATGTACAATAAGTACATTATAGAACATTCTTATCAATATTCCAAGTTAAATCTATCTCTGCCGAATTGCCAAGCTAACCTTTGATAATTATGCAAATAGTTCTTTTTGAACATTCCCAGTCTGCTCTGAGCAGCTATACAGAAGGCTGCTGCGGTTGACTTCAGACTAAGGAGGAAGTACAGAATAACCAAATGGAAAGAAAAGACTGGGAAGAGGTTTATTGTACCTCTTGTGTGGGAAGAGTGGTGAGATCAAAGGATAATGAAGGGTTAAGTTTGGTAAGGAGTCAAGGTGAAAGGACAGATAGTACTGTTTGGGATTACTGAGATATAAGGAAATCATCCAAACATTGCATTAAAAATCAAATTAAATATCCATGGATATAAAGTATCATAGGAGGACAGTTTGTTTATCCAATAAATATTAATTGAATATCTACTCCATACACAAAACAAGAATTTTCTACCTTGAAGACGTTATAGCATATTAGCATAAATTACACATGTATCAAAATCATTCTAAAAATAATAATTTTAATAAAATTTAAAAATTGGTACATCAAAGAAATCCAAAACATCAATCAGAAAGAATTTCTGCACCCCTGTGTTCATAGCAGCACAATTTACAATAGCTAAGATCTGGAAACAGACCAAATGCCCATCAGTAGAAGAGTGGATAAAAAAGCTGTGGTACATTTATACCATGGAATACTATGCAGCAGTAAAAAAGAAGAATCTCTTACCCTTTGAGACAACATGGAGGGACCTGGAGAGCATCATGCTAAGTGAAATAAGTCAGTCAGAGAAAGACAAGTATCACATGATCTCACTTTTATATGGAATCTAATCAACAAGATAAACTGATGAATGAAATGGATCTGAGACATGGAAGCTTGGGACAGAGTGTGGAATCTCGGAGGGAAGGTGGGGGAGGGTGGGTGGGTAGGAGGCAATCAACCAAAGACCTTGTATGAATATATGCATAACCCATAGACACAGACAATGGGGCGGTGAGGGGCTGGGGGGTGGTTTGGAGGGAGTTGATGAGGGGAAAAAGGGGACATATGTAATACTTTCAACAATAAAGATTTTTTTAAAGTAAAATAAAATAATAAAAAGTTTACATCATATAAATATGTTGTGTGAGATTTCAGAAGAGGGAGGTATGTAGTAAGGTTCTTTAACTAAGTGGTTACTTTCTTATAAGGATAGAATATAGAAAAATGTACAGAAGAACACACAGAATGGTGTGAGGCAAATGACATTCAGAGCAATGTCTGAAATATCATTATATAAACCACATGCAAATATTTGCATCATACTAACAGAGATAATCAAGTTGGAAGGACCATGATTGGTCAGACTCTAATCTACTCTTGCAATGGGTGTCTTAAGTAGGCGGGGCAGTAACATGTTTGTAGTTACATATGGGTAACAAAGGTTATATTTTGTTCTATGTAAGATTAAACAAATGTCTTCAGCCCCTGGTGTTAAGCTAAGGAGTGACTTATGTCAGAAGAGTCCAAAGAAAAACAAAGGCCAGCTAAACTTCAATGCAGAAGAATCCAGGAGAGTGAATTGTAACTAAAGGAGTCAAATAACATGCCCTTGGTCTTCCAGAATTTCCTATTTTCAGATAGTTTAGGAAATTTCCAAGCTTGGAGCAGATGTTTATTCACCTAGGCTATATTCAAGCAAACATGCTCTCTCAGCTGGATGAAACAGATAATTCGAATCCTTTGTGACAATCTCTTTACTATTTCCATGTTTCTTATATCATTGCACACTTTTCTGACAAGTAAGCCTTACTTTTCTCAGAAGTAAGACACAGTAGGTGTCCATTATGAATATATTGACTATAGAAACTTTATACCCTAGTGACCTTCATCTATACGTATGTAGCTATGTATTAGTGATGAAACTGTTAGAAATATCAAACAGTTTTGCTAAAGGGAGAAAACTGCTGCAGCATGATTTGTGCTTTTCACTAGGTTAGCTCAAAGCAAAACAAAACAAAACAAAACAAAAAACCCACAAAAAATTCTTGTCACTATGTGGTTCTGGAGAGTAGCATAAGTTCATAAGAATATATTCTTAAAAATTTATGAAGCTCTCAATTGGTTGTATTATATTTTTTTCAACCAAAAAATATAATGAAATATACTTCATAATAAGTCAGGGTAACCACTAAAGATTAAATATAAAACATACGGTTTTCTTACCAGCAGGAGAAAATTAGAGCTATCCAATGGAATTTAAGAAGGAAATAGAAAAAGAACAAAAACAAAAAGGAAAGTGAGTAAATAAATATAAAATATGAAGTAAAATGGAAGAATAAATCTTAATAAGAAAGTAAAAATAGCCCTAGCTGGTTTGGCTCAGTGGGTAGAGCATCGGCCTGTGGACTGAAAGGTCCCGGGTTCGATTCTGGCCAAGGGCACATGCCTGGGTTGCAAGCTCGATCCCCATTGTGGGGTGTGCAGGAGGCAGCCAATCAATGATTCTCTCTCATCATTGATGTTTCTATCTCTCTCTCCCTCTCCCTTCTTCTCTGAAATCAATAAAAATACATTTTACGAAAAGTAGAAATAAATGTAAGTGGCTTAAATTCACAAATATAAAAAGCAGATGTTCTCAGATGGGATTTAAAAAGTAAGATCTCATATTATACTGTCAGCAAGAGACACATTTAACATAAAATGTTACTTATATTTTTAAAGTAATGTAATAGAAAACAGTATATCGAGGTAAATGACTGATTTCATATATGGAAATATGGAATGGACCAAAACATCATAGGTTGCAAAGGGATACACAACTTAAAAATCAAATGAAAGATCAATAAATTATAATCACTAGCAATTTATTCTCCAAATATTACAGGTTTATAATATGAAGTCCAAACTAACAGAATTACTGAAAAAGGCAGGCAGATTAACATCTGTCCTTTGAGATATGATTTGATTCTGTTCAAAAACTGACAGATTGAAGAGATAAAAGTCAGCAAAGGAATAATTGCCACTCAAACAAAATAGAAATATTGTAAGAAAATAAAATTATAAGCTACAATCATGTTGAAGTAGAGACATAAATACAAAATCAAATTAGGTATAACTAAGCAAACTCAATGGTGTATTAAACATTGATAAGCCATGATAAAGTATTATTTAGCTGAGAGATATAAGCATGTTTCACAATTAGAAAATATTTCATTTTATTTCACTTACATTACTAGTTTAAAGTAGAAGAAAAATCATAGAATTGTCTTAATTCAGGAAAAGCAGTTGTTAGGTTTCTCTAAACACACACACACACACACACACACACACACACACACACCCCAGAAAGACTTTGGAGGAAATTTGACACATAGGTCTTAAAATTATTTTGAATATAATGATATCCAGGAACACTTGAGACAAATTTTAAAAAGGACTTCAAGGAGGGTGTTTGTACTTTTAAATGGAAGCTTTTGTTTTCATTTAAAGGAGTTTAGGCATCTATTAAATTTGGGGAGCAACTTTGTACCCTTATCAAAGCGATGCTTATAGATTCAGCTCTTTTGTGAATTAGTATAATTCTCATTATACCCATCAAATTATTAATACAATTAAGTAATTACTTATGGAAATGTTGATTCAAGTCAAACATTTATTGACCAAGCACTATTTTCAAGATATTGGGCTGATGACTGAGAGAGGAATATAAAGAACATAACACAGCTCCTTTTTTGAAGGAGTTTATAATCTCCTAGTTGGATATCATGAAGTAGGGGCCACTCCCTTCACTTTACCCATACCCACTCGGCAAGTGAGAGAGACCTTAGCAAGGCCAGGGTGGCCTCATGCACAGCTCGGCTGGGATATTTTTCTTAGCTAAGGTTTGGGTTTTACTAAACCCCAATATCTTATGTCAGGTGTGTATATAAATGGGATAACCACCAAAGGTGTGATACAGTGGATGCAACAGAAATTTTACTTCTTAATTTTACATTCTTATAATTTAAATAAAAGCGAAAGAATCATCAAACTTTATAAAACTTACACAATATACTACGTGCACAAATAAACACACATATGCATACACACACCAGCTTTCAGGATAAAATTCTTAGTAACTACAAAGTCCAAAAATCACTGGCCTTGTTTTCTGTTATATTCCTGGAATTAAATTAAGATTTATTTTTAAATAAATAAGTTAAGTCATGGCTGGCAATTTTTTTTTTCTGTAAAGGGCAGGATAGTAAATTTTTTAGACATCACATATCATAGGCCTTTGTCACAACTACTCAATTCTGCTACTGTAGCATGAAAGTAGCCAGAGAGAATCCTCCTGTATAATAATATGCAAATCGACCGAATGGAGGAACAACCTGTTGCTATGATGCACACTGACCACCAGGGGGCAGATGCTCAATGTAGGAGCTGCCCCCTGGTGGTCAGTATACTCCCACAGGTGGAGCACTGCTCAGCCAGAAGCTGGGGTCAAGGCTGGTGAGCACAGCGGCAGTGGCAGGAGCCTCTCCTGCCTCCGCTGCAGTCGGGCAGTAAGGAGCGAGGGGTCCTGGACTGCAAGAGCCCTGGACTGCAAGAGGGATGTCTGACTGCCGACTTAGGCCTGATCCCCCTAAGCCGGTAGTCAGACATCCCTTGAGGGGTCCCAGACTGTGAGAGGGTGAAGGCTGGGCTGAGAAACTCCCCTACACTCCCCATGGCACGAATCTTGGGCCTCTAGTGTGTAAATGAATGTCTATAGCTGTCTTTATTTTTTACATTTCTGTTCACTTTTTTCAACCACTTAAAAATGTAAAAGCTATTTTAAGCTTGCAGGTCATACAAAACAGGTGGCAGGCTAGAGTAGTCCGTGGGCCATAGTCTGCCAACTCCTAAGTTATGCAATAAACTATGTTCCTTTTCATATTTTCTTTTATAATTTTAAGACATATTTTCATAATTAAAAATCTCAAATATCTTCCTACTTATAAAAGGAAATGCTTTTTTTCTAACTTTCTGTAGTCATTGTATTGTTTCTGTGAATATAAGAACAATTTTTCTTGAAAAATCACATTATTAAACACTTTTAGGCAATTAGCATGGCTAAGATGGCTCACCAAGTTAATTTGCAGCATTTTTTCCCAGTTTTTCTCATTATTCACTCCAGCATTATTGACCAGGATGTCCAGTTTTCCAAAATAGTCTACAACTTTTCTGAAAGCATCTAAAATAAAAAAAGAGACATTACAGATATGTTCTTTCTTTCCATATATACATGTAAGTCATATCCTACACCATGGCATGCATTTTTATGTATCCACCCTGATAGCAAACATTACACTCTTAGTGACTCAATGCCTTGCTCCTCAATGTGGCTTGTGAGCCAGCTGCATCAGTCAGCATCACCTGGGAGCTTATTAGAAAGGCAGAATCTATGACCACCACAGACCTACTGAATCAAGAACCTTAATTTTGCCCAGCTTGTGTAGTTCAGTGATCGAGCATCAATCTATGAACCAGGAGGTCCCAGGTTCAATTCCCAGTCAGAGCACATGCCCGGGTTGTGGACTCAATACTCTGTGTAGGACGTGCAGGAGGCAGCCAATTAATTATTCTGTTTTATCATTGATGTTTCTATCTCTATCTTTTTCTCCTTCTTCCTTCCTTTCTGAAATCAATAAAATATATATTTTTTAAAATGCGTGTGCGTGCGCGCACACCACACACACACACACACACACACACACACACACACACACACACACAAAACCTTCACTGTGTTTAAGCAAGGTATAGTTTGCATAGATTCTGAAGCCTGAAGGTCACTCATTCCGTGGTCCAATTACATATCCAGTTCTTACAAAACCTCCTTAGCCAGTTCATACTAGGTTTTCCTACTTGTGTGTGAGAAACACATTTCTCAGAGTTGACTTTTACATAGTGCTATTGACTTAAACTGTTTCCTGGGGCCTTGTACCATTGGTTCTAGTTCTATTACTTGAGACTATACATAACAATTGTGGTTGCTCTTCCAAATGACAATATATGTTCTCAGGTCTTGGGGCCAACTCATGAGTTCCTTGAAAAAAAGTACATCCAAGTAAAATCATAGAATTGTTAACAACCACCAGGCATATTGAGTTCCCCAAAAGATAATTCCTTATGCAACTTAAGTGTCAAAAATAGTGGCAACATTTTCTAATATGTGCCCTTTCCAGTACCCTTTACCATACTGGAATGGAAAACAACAAAATAGAAACTGTTCCCTTTTTCATGGAATTTTTACAATAATTCTTAAGATCTCAAATTGATTCTAGGAAAGATCCTCTAGTAGAAAAAAATTAAGAACTTTTCTTCTTATTTATTTATTTTTGCATCCCACCCTAAGAATGTTCTCTTCAGAACTCCACATCCATCTTATAGGAAATTAGGTTGTTAAATATGTATGTCTATTAGCCATCGCTTGAGCTAATGTATAAAGTGTCCAATGTTTTGTATGAAGAGAATTAATAAATTAAAATCCCAAGATGTATTGAGACTCTTTAATAATGTACTGAATTTTTTCAAAATAAATCAACTGTCTATAGAGTTATCATAAAACAAACAAAAAATATGTATATCTAATTACTTCTTTAATTTTTTCTCATTTTGGTCTCCACTGCATTTCTTATATTCTGCCCTTACCAATGTATAATATACCATCTTCTTCCTGACATACCCCTAAATGTTGGGCCCAAGCAACTTCCAGTCTCGCTCTTGGTGATGTTTATATGCTGTGGTACTCTTTGTAATTTACCTACACCCCCATCACCACCACCACCAGCTTGCATTTCTTCATTTATTAAATGAGTTCTTTGTTCTTCTCCAAGGACATTTTCACCTCTGTATTTTTATGATTTCAATGAAGTCTCCCTCGGCCACATGTCTAAACCATTTGAAAAGTTATAGGCAGCGCTACATCCTGAAATCGGAAGAGCCAATGCCGTGTTTTCCTGAAGTGCAAATACGTGCGGATGTCCAGACAACATGTGGCTTCCTCATGACCACATGCCTCCTCCTGGTCACTCATTATGTGTCTGAGTTTCCTCCTCCACAATCACTTATCCTTAAGGAATGTGTTTACAGCCAAGGTACTAATTTCAAATACAGAAAAGCAAAAACAATGAAGGTTAAATGTCGCATGTGAAACTACACAAATTCAGACAGAAATAGCTTCCAGATGATCTATACCATGGATTATTCCATCCTGCATGGATTTTGAGATTTGACATGCCTCTATTCTTGATCCAAAATGTCATGTGCAATCAACAAACCTTTATCCTCTGGCAAAATATGTTCCATCAGCACTGTGTTTACAGCTCTCTTCTGCTCATGCTTGTCATCCATATTATAGATCTTTATTAGCATTTTCAGATTTTAATTACATATCTTCCTTTAAAACAACTCCCCTTAACTGTAGGGGAACACTCCTTCCTAACATGCTATTCTATTTCTAGTCTCTTACAGAAAATCCCAACATTTTCAAAGAAAGTCATACTTCAGTATTTCGTTAAGAGCAGGAGTAGCAGTGACTTTTAAAAAATATATTTTTATTGATTTCAGAGAGGAAGGGAGAAGGAGAGAGAGAGAGAAACATCAATGATGTGAGAGAATCCTGCACGCCCCCCACTGGGAATCGAGTCAACCAGGCATGTGCCCTTGACCAGAGTTGAACCCAGAATCGAACCCGGGACCCTTCAGTCCACAGGCCGACACTCTATCCACTGAGCCAAACCGGCTAGGGCCAGAGTGACTTTTATGAAAGTTTTTTTTCTCCCTTGACAAAAGATGTGCCCAACAATTTACCCAGTCTTTCAATAAAACTTTGTGAGATACAAATATTTTTTAATTTTTTTCTCCTGAAAAATTTTTTTTTCATGCATATCTGTTGGACCTCTATATGACCAAATCCGTTTATATACCAATATCGTCCCTGATATTTCACAAGTGGATTGTTCTATTTTAAGTGAGTAGACGGAAACAGGAAAGCTTTGAGGAAAGTCTGATAGAAACTTTTCTTCTGCCATCCTCACACTGTAGCGCAGCTATATTATTTTTAAACTACTATCTCAGAGGGGAAAAACCAAAGAGAGCACGTGGTTAACAGCATCTAGCATGTCTGTGCTGATGACCCTCGACCCTGCACTCTAGTACTTTTTAAAAAGAGAAACACTGCCAATTTCATTGTCTTCGGGCTCTGTGTCTTCCAGCTTTCTGGGAGAAGTTGTTGCTTGCCCCAGTCCCTTAGCCTCGGTTTAACTTTCCAGGTTCCATCTGCAGTTTCAATCATTTAATAATGACTGTTAGCAGCACTGTCTTTGAAGACACCAAGGAATTTTGATTGCATGATACGCTGCCAAAGGACTAAAATAAAAGGATTTCTCAGGGTTGGGCTCCCTCCCTCCCTCTTCGTTTTTTGCGGCTATTGGGATGTCAGTAGGAAGCACAACACTCCAAGCTCCCTCCTCGGGCTTAGCGGTAGCTGCTCTCCAGCTGCCTGCCCCAAGCTGACTCTCTGGCACCGGCTGCCTTCAGGTTATTGCTTGTTCAAGGCGCGTCCCCCGTCGCTGAGCAGATCTCCTCGCTTACCTCTCAGTTTTTCCTGGTCGGACACATCGCAGTGGATGAATAGAGTTTTCTGGGGTTCAAACTGCTCGTCCAGAGCAGCTTTACACTCGATACCTGCTTCATAACTCCAATCCACCAGCGCTACCTGCGGGGAAAGAAGAGGACCCAGGTCCCGCGCAGCTCGAGGACTAGACGCGCCGCAGACGATCAGTAAATAAACAACAGGACGCTCCCCGTGGGGGCCTGACACTCAGCGATCCAAGGTCGGGTTTTCTCCCAGCCGCTTTGGGCGTCTACTCCAGGGCGTCCGCCTCCGCAGCTTTGGGAAGTGGCGCGGTGGGCACGTGGGGGCGCAACGTCCCGATCCCCCATGGGCCCCTGGGACCCCCTGGGCTGGGCAGGCGGGATGGTGGAGGGGTGGGAGGTGAGTCTCCGGGCTCGCAGAGAAGGTTTCCGCGGCCAGGCGCCGCTCTTACCTTGGCGCCCTTGTGCAGCAGCGCCTCGGCTATGGCCCTGCCGATGCCCTGCGCCGCGCCGGTCACCAGCGCCACTTTGCCGTTCACGTGCATGGTGCGGCCGCTGCTAGGCGTCTCGGCGCCTCCGCAGCTTTTATGTTCCCGGGCGCGCGCCTGCACCCAGGCCCGGCGCCCTCCTGCGAGTGGGCGGGGAGGAAACTGTCAAGCCAACGCCAGGGCACCCAGGGCTGTGTCACCTTGCCCTGGAGCGCTGCGCGCGATCTTTGCCTTCCTGACTCTCTGCTGAACCCAGGTCACAGCCTTCCTCCACCTCTGGCTGCGCTGCTGGCCGCGAGCGGACAGGGAAAGCAGAAAGGTTATTTCTGAAAAGGATTGCCCTCCATCGCTCCCATTGTGATAACGATGTATGGTGCCAGGTGGGGACTGGAGCCATGGGGGAGAGGGGGAGACACTTTGTAAAGCAGATGATTGTCAACCGCTGTGCTGTACGCCTGAAATGAATACAACATAATATTGGATGTCAACTGTCATTGAAAAAATAAAATAAAAATTAAAAAATCGTTCCTTTCAGGGCGCTAAAGACCACCTTCCTAAAAGGACGGGGGAGAAGAGGCTTGGGAGCTTCGTTCCCCCCTCCTGCGACCGGGTTCTCCACTCCCTTACCGCCTCCCCTTCCCTTCTACTCCCCTCCCCCGAAAAAAGAAAGAAAAAGGCAAACAAAGCAAAAGTTTAAGGATGTTGCTCTTTTGTCCCAGTCTACTTTTTGTCTGAATTCTGGGCTCACGGCCTTCGGAGTGGGAATGGGGGGAGCCGAGTTAAGTAACACCAATCTTTTTCACTTTCGTTGTGTTTTTGACAAACTTGAATCTATCCTTTTCACGGCTGGTTCTTTAAGAACCCTGTTGGCACTTTTGTTACAGATCAGGATAGGCTGCATGTCATCCTGAGAGCGACCTGCAAGAATGTGCATCGTTCACTTTGCACGGGACTTCCAGGTCGCTGTCAGCCTGGTGAATTGTGGGTTCAATGGAATGCTTACCCGTTGACTCATACTTGCTTCAGAGCTCGGAGTTCAGTGCGGGACAGAGGTTCCCTGTCCTCCAGGAACTTGAGTGGGAGCTGTGTGCTGAGATGCACTCAGCCAGGGCTATCCTGATGATCCGGTCACTTTTTCCCTTTGTCTCCCCCCCCCCTTTTTTTTTCTCTTCATGTTTTCACCCCCAGGCTTCAATTTTATTTTCCATAAGCTTAATACCCGTTGGCATTTATTTTCATGAACAAGGAAATCTCAGCAGCTGGGGAGGTGACCTTTGTGTACTTTTTTTGCTGCTTACAGGCCACCGGAGGAAGGGGATTGGCTCAGTAGGGAAGGCTGCCTGGGGATGCTGTGTAAGAGAGATGTATGCTGTCAGCAAGCCACCGAAGCAGGTCCTCAAAGTTGCTTTGAAAATGGGTCTTGCCCAGCCCCGTGTGGCTCAGTGGTTGAGCTTCAACTTAGGAACCAAGAGATCATGGGTTCAATTTCCCAGTCAGGGCATGTGCCCCTGTTGAGGGAGGCATCTGATCAACGATTCTCTCTTGTTGTTGATGTTTCTAACTCTCTCCTCCTTTTCCTTTCTTTTTGAAATCAATAAAAATATATTTCTTTTTTAAAAAAGGAGAAAATGGGTCTTGAAAAATATTGAGAAATTAAGACAAGGAGAGAGAGATTTATATCCTATCATGATAAATTGTAATGTGAAGAGTAGGTTGAGGTATCAGATTGAAAGAGAACAGCGGCAGACAAAAACAAGAGGAAATAAACAAAGCTCAACACCTCTAGCACATGCACAGAACACAGAACAAGAAAAGGAACAGTTTCTTTGTCAGGAAAGAACTAACGAAAGAGACGGGAAGAACAGCTAGAGTGACACAGGGCCCTGTAGGGAGAGCAGAGGGTTGCGGCACATATTGGGGGAAAATAGTTTTGAGAAGATAGAAGCAGTTAATGATGCAAAGTGCTCCGATGCACATAAGAAAAGAAGGCTAGGAAAAGAAATGCTTGGAAATTTTCATGACAATAATTAGTGTTAGTAAATTTATAAGGCACAGTACATATTAATTAGTGCTAACTAATTACTTCTGGATTCATAGAAAATACATGAGATAGAGGAAAATGTGAGAGGTTTTGTTTGTTGTTTTTGTTTTATTTTGTCTGTTTGTTTTCAGCGCATAGAAAAGACTGGAATTTAAGGCAGAGTTTCTTCTCGTTTTCTACTCCCATTGTCTTTATTCATACTCTTAGACATTTTCCTGTGATGATAGCAATAGCAGTTAGCCTTCTGACTTACTTTTTGCCCCCCAAAAATTTAAATCCAATTCAGTTTCCACAGTCTTCCAAGTAAATATTCTAAAACATAGATCTGGTCACATGTAGACATCTTCATTTTTAAATCATTAAGATATTTAAACTGGGAGGCATTCTATGCCCCATGTCTTGGCCGTAGCCCCTGTTTGCACTCTGGGAAACCATGTGGGTTAAAACCTTCTCCACTCTCTCAGCATCAGGCCTATGTCTTACAGCATCTGCTCGCCTGACTATCCTTTACCTTCCACTTTCTTTACTTGTCTTCCAACTCAGCTGGAAAAACACTACAGTGGATACAGCAATCACATTGTAATTATCTCACTATCTCTTGAGTGTTTGCAAGGAGAGCTGTCTTTATCTCTGGATGTCTCCAGCATCCAGCTCAAAGTATGTGCTTGTACTTGATGAATGCAGTTCAGATAAACATGAGATGAATGTTCAATCAAGAGAAGTTGGGAAATCTGAACCAGATGATGAGATTTCCTGTATACCGTGGTTCCCTTTAATGTGACTTAAAAGTAAGACTGAAAAAAATACATTGGCTATATGTACGACATCTTTTTTATCTGATCATCTATTGAATGACATTTCATTGGTTTCCATGTCTTAGCCATCATGAATAATGCTGCAATGAACATAGGGCTGCATAAATCTTTGCGAATAAGTGTTTTCAAATTTTTCAGGTGAATGCCCAGAAGAGGGATTGCTGGGTCATGTATAACCCTATTCTTAATTTTTTGAGGAATCATCATACTCTTTTCCATAGTGGCTGTACCAATTTCCATTCCTACCAGCAGTGAATGAGGTTTCCTTTTTCTCCACAACTTCTCCAACACTTGCTTTTATCTGTCTTGTTGACTGTAGCCATTCTAAAGGTGTGGGATGGCATCTCACAGTTTTGATTTACATTTCCTTAATAGCTAATGAAGTTGAGCATCTTTTCATTTATCTGTTGACCATTTGTATGTCGTGGGAGAAGTGTTGTTCAGGCCCTCTGCCCATTTTTTTTCATTACATTGTTTGTTTAGTATTGAGTTGTATGAATTCTTTATATAGTGTTTTGGATATTAACCCCTTGTTGGAGCTGTTGTTTGCAAATATCTCCCATTGATTGGTTCCTTTTTTGTTTTGTTAGCGGCTTCTTGGGTTGTGCAGAAACTTCTTAGTTTGATATAGTCCCATTCATTTATTTTTCCCTTTACTTTCCTTACCTTTGGGGTTAGATGCATAAATCTTCTCTAAGACAAATGGCATACTATTCAGACATAAGAAAAAATGAAATACTGCCATTTGCAACAACATGGATGGACCTTGTGAATATTATGCTAAGTGAAATAAGTCAGTCAGAAAAAGCTAAGACCTATATGATTTCATTCATATGTGGGATATAAAACTGAAACTCATAGACACAGACAACAGTATGGTGGTTATCAGAGGGAAGGTAAAAGGGACCATATATATGGTGACAGAAGATGATTTGACTTTGGTTTGTGGGCATACAATGCAATATATAGATCACATATCATAGAAATGTACACTCAAAGACTATATACTCTTATTAACCAACTAGAGGCCCGGTGCACAAAAATTTGTGCACTTGGGGGGGAGGGGGGTACCTTAGCCCGGCCTGTGCCCTCTCGCAGTCTGGGACCCCTCGGGAGATAACGACCTGCTGGCTTAGGCCCGCTCCCGGGTGGCAGAGGGCAGGCCCAATCCCTAGGTGCAGCCCCTGGTTGGGCTCAGAGAAGGGCCGATTGGGGAGTTGGGGTGCCACCCCCTGTCATGTACAGAGCAGGGCGATCGGAGGTTGTGATGCCACCCTCAGTCATGCTCAGGGTAGGGCCGATTGGGAGGTTGGGGCACCGTCCCCCGTCACACTCAAGGCAGGGTCGATAGGGAGGTTGCAGAGCCACCCACTGTCACGCACAGAGCAGGGCCAATCAGGGGGTTGGGGTGCTGCCCCCTGTCACTCACAGAGTAGGGCCAATAGGGGAGTTGGGGCACCGCCCCCTGTCACACACAGAGCAGGGCCAATGGGGAGGTTATGGCTCTACCCCATCACACACAGAGCAGGGCCCGTGGGGTGGTGGTTGGGGCACCGCCCTCTATCACCCACAGAGCAGGGCCGATCAGGGGGTTGGGGTGCCGCCACTCTCACACTCAGGGCAGGGCCGATAGGGAGGTTATGGCTCTACCCCATCACACACAGAGCAGGGTCCGTGGGGGGGGGGGGGGAAGGGGGGGGCACCGCACCCTGTCACACACAGAGCAGGGCTGATCAGGGGGTTGGGCCTGTCACAAACAGCAGGGTGGATAGGGAGGTTGTGGCCCCACCCCCTGTCACACACAGAGCCGCAGGGAGATCAGGGGGTTTGGGCGCTGCCCCCGTCACGCTGATCCCAGTGCCAGGAGGCCTCGCAGCTCCGCTGATCCCGGTGCTGGGAGGCATATTACCCTTTTACTATATAGGGTAGAGGCCTGGTGCACGGGTGGGTGCCGGCTGGTTTTCCCTGAAGGGTGTCCTGGATCAGGGTGGGGGTCCCCACTGGGGTGCCTGGCCAGCCTGGGTGAGGGGCTGATGGCTGTTTGCAGCTGGTCACACATCCTTCAGGGTGGGGGTCCCCACTGGGGTGCCTGGCCAGTCTGAGTGAGGGGCTGAGGGCTGTTTTCAGGCTGGGGGTGACTGAAGCTCCCAACCGCTCCTTTTTTTCTTTTTTCTTTTTTTTACTCTGGGCCAGCTTTAGCTTTGAGACTTGGCTCCAGCTCTTAGGCCTCCGCTGCTGAAAGTAGATTTCTGGCCTTTGCTTACAATGTTGCGATCCTGCTGGCTGAAGCCCGGTGGA